AAACAAAATCTGAGCACCAGAGTGGAAGAACTGGAAGAGCAGTTGCAGAAGCTTCAAAACCTACACAGAGATGTTGAGAAACAAAACACAAACCTTCAATCTCAACTAACAGAAGCCCTTTCTTGCTATGATCTTTTGTCTGAGAAACTGAGAAAAGATACCCAGACCGTGAAACATGTCACATTTGCAGATACAAAAGAATCTAAAGATTCAACCCAAGAAACCCAAGAATCAAGCTGGGAAAAAGATGAGAAATTTAACTGGCAGAGAATGCTCTTAGATGGAATGGAGGACAGAGAACAAGTTTTGCTGAAAGAATACATAGCACTCCTCAAAAGCTACAAAGATCTGAAGAAGAAACTGGATGATGGGGATGTGCAGTCTGAAATTGCAGTGGAGATGAAAGATTTGAAAAATGTCATTGCAAGAAAGGATGAAGAGATTCTTTATCTTCAACAAAAATTGAATCTTTTTCAGGGATTTTCCGAGGGAAAGAAGATGAATTCGCTTGAAAATGTTGAAAAAAAGGGCATAAAATCAAAGGACACAAATGGAATACCTTTGAGGGAATTCATATTTGGAACCAAACCAAAGAAGCAGAAAACTTCTGTCTTTTCTTGCATCCAAAGCAAGAAATATCAAACCTTGAAAGCTGGGGGGCATTGATAGATCTTCAGTTCTTGTTGTCTTTTCCTTCTCTTGATATTCAAACTTTCCCATTAATTATTATGGAAGATCACTAAAAACTCTAACCAATACTCTCATAATTATTTTATTTTAATTAAATATTTGGGGATTTCAAAATTAATGCCGTTATTTTGCCGCATGGAAATCCTATTTTGATTTTGATTAAATTTTGCTTATCCGGACAAAAACTACACATGTTGAGTAAAACAAAATAATATCATTATTAGAACTTTCACTGGATTGCCAAGCCATGACGTGCAAATATTTATATTATTGGATTAATTATATTAATTTTAAAATGTAAAAATATTTGGAAAATGATTTCTTCATTGAACATAGGTAGATAGAGATATATATTCAATTAGGATTTTAACATATAATTTAAAATCCTGATTGCATCGTAACGGAAGACAAATTGTAAAGTCGTAATTTTATATCGTGAAGAACATATACTCTACTTTTAATTGTAAAAGTATCATGCTGGTGTATATAAATGATCATGTTTATATCATTACAACTTTTTACTTTCCAAAATAAATTGTCTTTATCATACACAAATTAATTAGTATTGTTACCATTATATATGAAAAATAGTATAGAATTAAAAAACAAAAAATTACATATTTAAAAATGACATAAAAAATTTATAAAATTAATGGTGACATGACTATATTATTTTATCAAATGAGCAATGAAAATACGCTAAATAAGTGAATAAAGTTTAATCTTATGAATAGTAAATGAGAACATTATTTTTGGACGAATGAAGTATTATATACACCTTTTTATTATTATTTCGGATTTTTGGGGTACACATACTCGGCTTATAATTTAATAATTTTAATCCATTTTTTTCAAACATTGGGCTTTCTTGGACATGATTGATAGGTTGGGCCTAGGAGACAATTGACTACTTGGAGGAGTAATGCATAGTACTACACTACTACGTATATATTTGTAATAAAGCATAGCCCAGGCCCAATATTGAAACATTGGTAATTAGTTTTTGTGGTAGAGTATCCAATTTGACAAGTCAGTGTGCGAGCTGCATGATAAGGCGTACTACTGTTTTCAAGTCGCGTACTAAAAATTGTTAGAAAAATGCTAGTGGTACACCAAATGTGTATCCTATATGTCCCCCACCCCTTCCTTGTCCACATAAATGGACAAGAAATTCAAAAAAAAATTGGGTGGTGGAGAATGGAGTAGTGTACATTTGGTGTATCCCTAACATTGCTCAAAATTGTTAGGGTGCACTCTATGTCTCTATGACTTCATAATTCGTGGCATTTCGTGCTTTAGAGTTTACACTTTCATTTATTAGTTCCTGATTTAGTACTTTATTGCTCCGACTAAAGGTTTTAGTTCTTCGCTAATTTTTCTTTAGTATCAAAATAGAAAACATTAATACGAAACTTGTATTTAAAGTATATATTACTCAATTTGTTCATAACTAATCTTCCCACTCGAAATGATTATATTGAATTCAATTGATCGAGTATAGGTTTAAATTTTAAAAATAGCGATTACATAAAAAGTAACATGGATCAAGAGATAATTTGAAAATGTTACTCCCTCCGTCCCGGAGTGTTCATCCAGTTTTGACTTTTGGAACTGTTCATCTAATCACTTTGACTCATCAAATTCTCTCAATGTGTAAGCCTAACATGTGTGATCTTGTTTGATTTGTCTTAACATATAGATTATTAATATGTAATTTCTATAATTTTTTAATATACAAATTACAAGATAAAATGGATTAAAGAAGTGTATTGGATGATGTGTAAAAATGAAAGTAGACAAATACTCTAGGACGGAGGTAGTATTTTATAATATGATATGATTACGAAACATAAATAATACTCCCTAGTCAAATACTCCCTCCGTCCCGAAATAGATTACAATATTCTCTCACATTTTTGTCACAAAAAGGATTACAAAGTCAATAACTTTATGGTGATTTGACTCTTTTACTCTCACCTTTTCTTTTCTGCTAGCCACTATTCACACTATTTGGGGGGTAATTTGGGGAAAAAAATTTGATTTGACTCTTCCTTAATTTCAACTAAAAGGAAATATTGTAATCTAAAGTGGGACAGAGGGAGTTTATGATTTGACTTAACAATTGGAGGATAAACTTATGTGAAGAAAAGATAAATTTGACAATTATTGTTAATATCCTTTGACTTACATCATGTATTGGAGTTGCTCTAAGAAAATCGTCATGATTTTGTTGGACCACAATATTTTTGATGCGTCTACAATAATTTATCTCATTATAATCCTTAAATTCCATTACAATTTATCCACTCTGACTTTACATTGTTTTATGAAAGGGTTTTTTATCGGTCCAAAAGGTGGAATCGCCCACCCCAGGCGCCCCCACCCCCTTGCCCGGCAGGAATGGTGGAGTAAGTAAATCACGGTGACTCAGTCGGCCAAGAACGCTAGACCCGTGCCCACCGCGCACAAGGAGCCTCCTCACCCTTTATGGGATTTTTAGATAGCTCCCACACTGCCGCTTGCGGGACTCGATCCCTGGTCATCGGTCCAAGATTTCACGCTCTTGACCAACTGAGCTGTCCATGCGGGCCATGAAAGGGTTTTTTATGCTATGACTTCTGTGGGGTGTCCATAAAAAGGTGTGGTAAAAATCAGTTTAAATAAATTAAAAAAAGGTGCAGAGAAAGTCATTTACGGGGTAAATTCGAGTAAAAGTGTAAAACTATACCCCTTAACATCTTCAAAGAAGTATTTTAAAAAGTTTGAGTGTATTGACTAGTATAGCTGGATTTAATAATTTAAAAAAAATAAAAATCATATTCTCTTCCTTTCCAAAAAAAAATCATTTATCTTCATTCTTTTTAATTATTTGCTTCGTTTTTTTGTATGAATATTGGTTAAATAAAAAAATTATTAAATTTTTTTACACAAATATATACGGTGCATGATGTAATTACTCCGTGTTTTAATTCATTTTTTTTGTACTCCGTATACATTGAGTCAAAATAGATATAAAGAATTCTACTTCCTCCATTCAATTAAATTTTATTATTCATATGGTCAAATTTTATTTACTTTCTTTTTCTATTTTTGTTAGTCATTTGATAAAACAATATAGTTAAGTCAACACTAATTTTGTAGATCTTTTGATATACTTTTTAAATATGTAATTTATTTTTTAATTTTATATCATTTTTCATATAAAATAGTTCGTAAATAACTTCAGTCAAATATCGTAAATCAAAATAGATAATTTTGAGATCTCTGAGCAATAAATAATTACGGGGTACTTTATAAAAAAGAAAGGACGGCATACATAAGCTTAGGTCAGTTGGGACATGGGTTCATTCAAAAACCCTTTAATTTGACTGCAATTTATATTGACTTTTTTTTTTGTAATTTCATGTAAAACACCATAAAAATTTTTAATGACAGGGAGTAGTAAACAAAATTAAGCCTTTGGGTGAATGTTAATAGAAACATATTTGGGACAATGATGGACGATCATGTGTAGCATGCATAAAGTTTTTACATATGAAGAATATAAGTGACTCTTTATTAATAAAACTATAACGAAATCTCAAATTTCAATTTATCTCTTCCCAAATCATTCTGGGGACCGGTTTTAGCAAACCCTAAGATGAGTTCATTTTTTTAATAAAAATCCAACTCTTAATTAGGGCAGAAATTAAATATATAGTGTGGTTACTTCTTTTTTACACTTTTCCCAAAAAGTATTAACTGAAATATTTTAATTCTCTTGTCTAAAAATCAACGCAATCAAAAGGTTATATACTTAGAAGTTAGAACATGTATCTCATGTGGAGGTGAGATATACTTTTACTAGGATATTACACGAGAACATTATTTTTTTTTTCTAATTGGGTGGTGCTTTAGGCCCAAGAAGTCGATGCTTTATGATTAAGGGGTTTGACCTCGAAAAATAGACGATGCATGTTTTACCTTTTCTCTGCTCTTTGTTGGATCTCCAACTTGAGGACAAGTTGATTTTTGAGGCGGGGTAGTGTTGTAATCTATTTTATTTTTATTAGTATTATAAATATTATTATTATTATTACTATTATTAATATTATTATTAGGCACTCAGGAGTATTATTAGGTAGTTATTATTTATGATTTTTTATTATTATTAGTACTATTACCATAGAGTAACGTACTTCCTCCATCTCATAAAATCTTTTTGCGCTTTTTCTTCTATCTCAAAAAATCTTTCGCATTTTTATTAAAAAGTCGCTTTTCTCCCTACTAATTTTTAACTTATATATCACCAATACAAATATTCATGCATATACGACTCTTACATTCCCTATTGACAAAGTTCCCAAGTTAACCCCTTTGCTCCTACTTTAAGTGACAGAAGCAATTTTATCTGTTTATAAACATGAGTTTCAATTATATGCTCAATTAGTAACAGTATGTGTGTGTAAATTCTACGGAATTAACAATTCACGGTGCTCAAAAGAATCTTAGTGTGCTGCATATGTTTTTATTATTATAACCTCAAAATGACATTCAAGATTATACTGCACGTATATTCGTCTAGTTTGACTTTTTTGAGTCAAATTAGATGAACTTTATTTCTATCTCAATTAAATAAAAATGGTAATTTTTTAGTATAAAAATTATTTCAATAGATTTGTTTTGTTAATAACTATTAAAGTTTTAATTTATTGTATTATATACAACATAAATTAAGAGTAATTGATGATTAAAGTTCGTCCAATTTGACTTGAAAACGTCAAATTGGACGAACTACGATGGAGGGAGTATCATAATTCCATTATACAACAAGGTGTTTTAGGCTATCCAAAATAAATGATTTGGTGAAACATGCTAATACCATAAATATTATATTAATCAAATCGATTTTTTCTAATGCGTATTTTGAATTTTAATTTCTAATTTAATCGTCACACTTTCTTCAAGCAAAATAAAACAAAATTTTAAGTCTTTTTTAATTCATTTTATTTGAAGATTGATACTGAATTAAAAATTAAAGCTTATATATTTAAAATTTACATCAAAAGTTCTACAAAAATAAGATGTGATAAAAATATTTTATTTTATTAAATTATCAATTAAATAAAACAAATAAATAAATATTTTCGTGACTTTTGAAGAGTAGAATATAATTTTATTTGGGATTGGAAGAGTTAGAGAGTATGACCTATTTTTTTGTCTTAAATTTTTTTCTCAAACTATATGAAATCAAATTGTGTCCATTAATCAAAGGAAAACCGAAAATCAAAAATTTACATTACTCCCTTCATTCCATATTAACTCTCAATTATGACCTACTTTATACCGAACATATTGAAAAATGAAAATAAATGAATGTAGACATATATTATGTCTATATCCATTCATTTTTTAACTACCAAACAAGTATTAATAGACCGTTAATACGAAATAAAAAAGTGTGTTAGCATTTTTGATAAAATTTTAACAGTGCACATTAATTCTAAAAACGCTAAAGACTACTGACAAATAATTTTTTCAAAATGCAAATGATAAACTCAAACGCGGATGTCAAACGGGTATTACGTAGCAAAAAAATCAAAAAGTAAAAGGAATCACTCGATTCACTCCGTATATTGCGTGTGGTGTGCTGTTTGTCTGCAGGAAGAAATTAAATCAAAGGGTTCTGAGACAAAAATACGCACGTAGGTCAATCTTCCTTAAAATCTGGAAATTAATTAATGAAAATTCTCAACTTTTCAATTTTTCATTTAAAAAAAACATGATATTCCCTAATTTAAATTCCTACAGTACTAGTCATGATATTTGCTGTTCCCCTCCTGTTTTTTTGGCATTTGGTCTCCTCTTTTCTCACCCTCAAATTTTCAACTCACGCACCCAAAATGTTGTTGACAAGACCAAGAGAATAAAGAAAATACACACACCCTTCCTCCATCCAACAATAAAATTCTCATTCACTATTCACATGGTCAAACTTTATTTAGTTTGCTGACTTATTTTCGTATTTTATTTGATAAAATAACATGGGCAAGGTTCAAGTGACATTGCCCGGCAATATCATGGGATGACCCGGGAGCGCTCCGGTGCCCCGTTCGTAAAATTGACGGTTCTTACCCCACTACAAGAATTTGTCTCGTCTGCAACGGAAATCTGCTACAGACTCATTTCCGTAGCAGATCTGCAACGAATCAGCGACGGATTTGAAATCGTTGAAAAAGAAACATTATCTGCGACGGACTATATTTATCCGTCGCAGATTAGCGACGAAATATTTGTGCCTGTCGCAAATTTAAGTTGGTCAATTTTTGACCTGATAACCTGCGACGGAAGTGTATATCCGTCGCAGATCCGTCGCAGCTTTTTTATAATAATCGAGGTTGAAATTTTCCCAGCCATTCGTCTTTCACTTCAACCCTATCCCGTCTCTCTCCCGGTTACTGCGAACGCCACTCCTCCGCCAGCCTTCAACGCCCTTCCTCGCCGCCGACGAACGTTCTCGCCAGCCCTCCTGCCACGCCGTCCCGCCCATCCGCGCCAGCCAGGCCGTCTTCCCCAGCCGCGTCGTCATCTCCAGCCGCGCCACCTGCGCTGCCCACCGGCCGTCGCCACCCGTCGTTGACGCCGCTACACGCCAGCCGTTTCTCTTCCCCGCCGGACATCCTCTGCATCTTTGCCGTAGGTATTTGTGTTTAATTTAATTTTTGGTGAAATTGAATTTCTTTGTGTGAAATTGAGTGTATTTTTGGTGAAATTTACTTAAATTGTGTATATATGAGATGAAATTGACATGAAATTGGGTAAAAATTGCTTTACTTTTTGGTGAAAATTTTAATTAAAATTGTGTTAGTAAATTTGACATTTATTGTGAATTTAGGTAAACTTTAGTTGAATTATGTGAAATTTAGTGTATAATATGTTCAAATCTATAGTTAAATTAGTGTTGTGTGTGGTTTAATCAAATTGTCGTTTGTTAGCTGTCTTTATTGTAGCTATGGTTTGTTGGTAATAAATGTCATTGATATTCTTGGCCCTGATTGTTGTTTGTTGCCTTTCAATTATCAGGCGTTTCTAGAATGAGTCCATTCGAAAATCGTGAGTTGATGTATAAGAAATATGAGAGAGAAGGTGTTGTTAGTCAAGAATGGCTGGACAACGTGGTTGAGTTTGTAGAGTACTGTGAGTCAAGTCCCAATGTAGATAGGTTGGATAACAAGAAAATGCGATGTCCTTGCAAGAAATGTAAGAACATCAAGTTTTGCTCATCAAAGATTATGCTGGAGCACATTTTGCGGTTTGAGTTCACACCCAATTACTTTGATTGGGTATGTCACGGAGAGAATCATGGTGACTACGTACCTCCACAACGATGTAAAGTCCCTCGTCAAGCTGATGCCTCAGATGTATCACATGTCCCGGGTAGAGAACAGTTTGTACACATGATTTATGATGCAGTCAGCCCGACTAGGATAAACTCTGTTCTTGAAGAAGAGCCAAATTCGACAGACAAGCACTTCTTCGAAATGTTGAAAGTTGCTGATACAGATATTTGGTCGGGGAGTTCTAAGATGTCTCAGTTGTCTGCAGTTGCGCGCTTGTTGAATATTAAGTCAGAGCATAATCTATCTGAGCGTTGTTACGACACCATATGTCAATACATCAAAGACATTCTCCGGAGGACAACTCAATGGTGAATGACTTTTATGAAACTAAAAAGATGATTGAAGGTTTGGGTCTTCCGGTCCAAAAGATTCATTGTTGTGTTCTTGGATGCATGTTATATTGGAGAGGCGATGAAAGTCTTACCGAGTGCAAGGTGTGTCATAAGCCACGCTATAAAGACGAGACGTCTAAGATTCCGCACAGACAGAAGGCTAAGAAGAAAGGGGCGCCTGTGCAGTTGGATGAGGTTATCATCCACACAAAGACAAAGAAGCACGGTGGAAAGACTTGGGTGGATCCGGGACATGCTGAGCTACAGGTACTTTTCACAATTTGCAAAATAGTTTGGGTTCATGCTGATAGTGTTGTTGTTTTTGTCTTTAAGCTTATAAAGGGTGATAATGTAGTTGCTTTCTTGTGTAATTTTATTGTTTTGGTTGACGTTATTCTTACTGTTTATGTTATTGTTAATTGTGTTATTATTATTGTTGTTACATTGATGGTGTTGTTGTTGACATATGACACTATTTTTGTTGTTGCGTTCATGGTGTTGTTGTTGTAGGGTTGACACTACTTTTGTTGTTGACTTGATGGTGCTGTGATCAATAGCTAGATGTTACGTTTCTTATCGATCCATGATAATGTTGTTAAGTTCTTGTGTTGTTATTGTTATTTTTGTTGTTGTTGTCATATGACATTGTTTTTGTTGTTGCGTTGATGGTGTTGTTGTTGTCATTTGACAATGACTTGTGTTGCTTGATGTCGTTCATGTTGTTATTGCTGTTCTTGACACGCTATTATAGTTACGTTGTTATTGTGTGTTATTAAGTATCATAAATTGCAGGCACAATTCTTCGAACTGCGCGAGGAGGCTAGACAAAATGGACTTAAAGTCACCGACGAAGAAATATGGTACTCGCTAGTCGAGGGCCATAACGCAAAGAACCGTGTTCCTGGAGTTGGTGACTACGCACGGGAAATGAAGAAGATCAATCCGTCCTCCAAACCTCGCCGTTCCAGCACTAGCAGCAGCAGCGCGGCGGAGATGGCAGCCCTTAAAGAGCAAACCCAAAGGCTGCAGGAACAACTTGATAATCTAACCTCAAGCTTGTCGCTGACGATTCAGGAGGAAATAAGGAAGTTATATGGTGGTAATCTTCCTCCACGAGGCAATGACGATGGAATGGGAGGGGCAGGACAGCCCGGGATTTGTTGACATCTTTGACATTTGAAACAAGCACTTTAATATTTCGTGTTTTTACAAGATTATGAATTATGTTACATTTGCACGTGAAGGATTAATTAATCTCGTTTTGAATTATGTATTTCGTATTGAAATTTTGTTTAGAATTATGCGTGTGAAATTTGAATGTGTTGCCCCTACTACTCCCTAAAAACAGAAAAAATAGAAAATGCTGGTGCTGTGATCAGGTTGTCTGCGACGGGAATTCTTGTTGCTGCGTTTTGTCGCGTATCTGCGACGGACACCTCAGTCGCTAATTCCGTCGCAGATCTGCGACGGTTTAAACACTTCCGTCGCAGATTTTAGGGGTGCGAAACGCGAAGGTGCCCGTTTCAGGTCCGTGGCAGATCTGCCACGGATTTTCATTTCCGTCGCAGATTCTGCGACGGAAATTATTTGTTGCAGTTCTGTCGCAGATTGGTAATCTGCCACGAAATTTCAAGTTCTGCAACGGAATTTGTCTGTGGCAAACTGACAGTTTTCTTGTAGTGCCCCCCTAACCCCCCCGGTAAACCCCCCGACCCGAACACCCCCCCTCACCCCCTTCAATTGCACCCCACAAGTTGATTTTGACATTGGAGTCAAAATTTGACTCCAAAGTCAAAATCAACTTGTGGAGTGCAATTGAAGGGGGTGGGGGGTGTGTTCGGGTCGGGGCCGGGTGGGGGGGGGTTTACCGGGGGGTTAGGGGGGGTAGAAACCGTCAATTTTACGAACGGGGCACCGGAGCGCCCCCGGGTCATCCCATGACATTGCCGGGCAATGTCACTTGAACCGTGGGGAAATAACATAGTCATGTCATCTCTTGTTTTGTAGATCTTTACATGTAGTTTTTAAATACGTAATTTTTATTTTTTAATTGCATACCATTTTTTATATAAAATGATTTAAAAATAACTTTACTCAAACATCGTAACGCGCAACGAAAACTTTATTTATGGACAGAGGGAGTATACACACACACACACACTCCTGTCTTAAAAATTTCATTTTTTACCTTGAGAGAAAAATTTATAGCCCTTATAATTCTTCGGTTATATGCATTGTTGGGATTCCTCCAAGTCCCACACCGGAAGTATATCAATAAATGAACTAAAATATATAGGTTCACCCAACCCCGTTAATATGATGCTTTTTGGGGGGTGCCCAAAAACAAATCCATGAGGATTTGGCCTAGAATGGACAATATTATGCATTACTTTCACATACACAAAAAACACTTTTCTTAATTTTTTTGTGTGTTCAGGTATAAATGTTTTAGGAGAGGGGGGAAGTAATAATATTTGTGGAAATTTGAGGCCATGATATATGAGATCGAGGATGTGTGTGATTGTTGGGCATGGGTTCCCTTGGGGTGTGACAATTCTATGGAGGGAAGGGGCCTAGTGGCCTACAAGGTGGAATAATGATATTCATTCGCCTTGTTGTTTTTTTAAATCTATGCAATGAAGAAATGGAATGCTATGATGAGAAAATAATGACCAAAGTCTCTTTCCCTTGCTTTAAAAAATATGATATTCGGAGATGAAATAGAACTATATATAGAAGTCACATAGTTTTATCACTTCAATTTATGATTAGTTTGGACGCAGTAGTTTAGACACATGGCACGAAGAATGCATATTTTGAGCAGATTGGCAATACTCTAACTTTAATTTCTTAAGCTTTTACTCCTTCACCTCCTAAAAACCTTTCCTATTTTGACATTTTTAATCAAATAGTAACATTCTTTGGTCACAAATTAAACATAATCTAAATAAATAAATGATAAAAAAATTTGATATATTAATATTGTATCCTAAGATGAAACCAATTAAATAAAATTTAAATTGTACTTAAATATATTTTTGTCACAATTTATAGTCAAAATGTGTCAGTATTTGACTAAAAAAACTCAAAACAGAAAAGCTTTTTAGGACGGAAGGGAGTATCATCCTTTGTACTCCGTAGTACTCAATCTTTAACATATGTCTAGCGCGCTGGGCCTTCCAATAGATAGGCCGACAACGCGGGCCGGGCCTTGCTCGAACCTAAAATTTTAGTGATATAACCACTCAGTCAAACACACACTTTGATCAGGTCTATTTTCTATACAAAAAATTTAAAATCAAAATTTAGGAAAAGGGGATTTAAACAAAATAAAAGAAAAACAAAATCCAAATGGACAATCACCTCTAACTTGAAAAATGATTATAATTACTCCTTTAAGTATGTTCATAGAATAAAATTATTACGGAGCGTATAATTATTAAAAGTTATTATTTTTGTTTACAAATTTATAATATTAAAAATATTAAATAAAAATAAAAATTTATAAGTTCAATAAAACTTTATCAATTTTCTCTCCCCACTTCTTTCTCCTTTGCACTTTCCTTCAACCAATGAGTCATTATAATCCACAGCGAGTCAAAGGAGTTTACACCACAAGAAAATATATGCATATAATATTTTTATTGTTTTCAAACGAGTAAAATTGTCAGTACATGCATTTGGGTGCCATAAAAACATACTACCACCCTCTCACAATAATCGTTTAATTTAACGTGTTTTTTCGAGTCAAACTAAAATAACTATGACAATCAATTAAATAAAACTTATATTAAATATTAATATGATACAAATGTAATTGGATAAGAGTTATTTTGTAACCGGAATGTATATTTAATTAATCATTGATTAATGTTCATTTAATTTCACTCAAAAAATTTAAACTAATTTAATTAACGAATATTTAGAGAGGAAAGTATAATATAAATGTGGTAAAATAACACATCAGCCACACATATACGTGTGTTTATAGTATACATCGATCACACTTATCCAATTTGTGGGATGGTGACACTTTTCTCACCGTGTACTTAGTACATGTGCGGCAAGCTGTACATCGTTTCCACATTTTTATGTGTGACGAATAACTTTAGCATCAAAAGATTATTATTTTTTTGTATAATTATTTTTAATTAAAATTATTTTAAATTTCATTTATTTAATTAAGAATTGATGTAGAACTACAAAATTAAATTTATATATTTAAAAACTACATAAAATTGTTATTTTATTTAATTAAATGACTAATGAAACTATTTAAAAATTAAAATACGCCATTGAAGGAATCTTATAGTTTACAACAACAACCAATTGAATTCCACAAAAGATATTTATGAAATTTTAAAAAGTAAAAATATTTGGTGAAAAGTAAAAATAAATGGTTGAAAATCATTCAAAAGAGAGAATTAAATATGTGTATATATTTATGTCCCTAAAGAACAAATAGAAAAAAGTAAAGTTGACTTGACATCGAAAAAAGAAAATTGTAAAGTGCATTCAAAGACATAAAATAAATACTCCATTTGTCCCTAAAATAAATGTCTTAGATTAACTATCATGGACTTTAATACAATGTCCGGTTCAAGGAATCTGAAAAGTAGAATGAAAAGAAAATAAGAATACAAAATCTACTAAGGAGGGGAAAAATAATTTTTTTTTATTTTGGCGAGAAAGATGAAAGAAAATATTTTTGTTATCTTTTAAATTTCTTGAATCAAACATATCTTATATGAAAATTAATGTTTACATAGAGGAAAAAAATAATATGGAGCATTTTTTTTCTTTATTTAAATGGAATGAATCTATTTTTTTAAACAAATAATAAATCTGTGGTGAGGTTCTAGTGACACCAGAGTAAGATGACACTCTAGTATCACTACTATTTTGAGGCATTTTCGATTCTCCGTTTGCAAACACCCCCTAACTATCCTATCCCAGTCCCCAGCTCAATCTCTGCCCCCAAGCCCCCTTGCATAATAGTCACACATTTAAAGAGGCTTAGGCAGGACTGGGGTGGGGTAAGATGTTTAATTAAGATAATAATTAGGGGATATGAACTTTCAATTTTACAATTTGAACACTGAAAATGGCCTAAAATGAACAAGTGTCTTTCATGGATTCTGGTGTCACTAGAATCTCACCAACAAATCATGTCATTTGGGGTGATGGGATATGCGGAATTTAACATGAGAAGAATAAAGAGTAGACAAAAAAGAATGGAGGATATAGGTCAAAAATAAAAGTGTGATTGGGCCAATTTAAGAGTCAAATGGGAGAAAGAAGATGGGGTGGGGCAGGGGTTGGACTTTTAGGGCAGGGCAGGGCAGGGGTGGGAGGCACAAAGGCAATCGGCATGTTTGACAAGTGTGTCAATTATCGTGACACTATTATGTTAGCAACCTACTCCGTAATAAGTAACGTCTCTACCTATACATTCTTTATTCAATTCTTTTGTTTTTTGTTTTTTATTCATTAAATTTAATGTTTTTTCATGTGTTTGACAGTGAAATTAATAGACTGATATTATTATTGCTGTGGTTCATAAATTTTTTTTATTGAAAGATCTTATTGGCAAAAGAAAGGGTGGTGATATCACATTCACTAAAATACAAAATATACCCGTCAGCTAAATACACTCCCAATATATCATTATGTTATTATTCAAAAAATTGTACTCCCTCCATTCCCGAAAGAGTTTCTCTTATTGACTTTTTGGAAAATTAAGGGAGTGATATTTTTGTGTTGACTTTCTAAAAATACCCTTGATGAGAAGGGTAAAAGTAAGATGTGATGGATTGATTATCAGGGAAAAAGTATGATGTGATAGGTAAGGTATGAAAAAATAAAGGGTAAAAGTGGTTTTTTAATAGATTAAGGAAGGAGTTAGTGGGATAAGAAAAAAAAGAAAGGTGAAGAAGTTTAAGGAACTTATGGAGTATAACTTTAATGTGTTAAAAATTTTTAAGAAAATGTTTAAGACTATTCATCATTTGTTTCATCTTACCGAGTATTACTTTTTCAAATAAAATAACTTCCTTCGTCTCTATTTTGATTACAAAATGAGAATTACAATATAAAATTCCATAATTTTTGAAACCATTCTATTTACAATTTAGTACATCAAAAAGAAATAGAAATTACACATTAAAAAATTACGGCCAAAGTTCTACAAAACAAGAGGTGACAAAAATATTTTATTCAAATTAAATAATCAATGAAAATAAACAAATAAACAAAGTTTTCAAGTGGAGCTAGAGAGAATAAAATTGTAATCAAAATGAGGACGGATGAAGTATATATTTTAATTTTAATTATAAAACTTTGGTGCCTCTTCTTTTAATTTTTCATTA